CCATTATCCCCCAACCTTCTTTTCTTTGCATGTTACTACCGCTAATCACTTATATGACCTAACAGAGTTGCAAGTGCGGTAAAATTATCACTAAATGCTAAACGTAAACAGGAAAAGCAAGAGCAACAGTAGCCAAAGGGGAAGTGGATTTCATGTACAACTGCGGGGTGAGTTTGGAATGTCCAGATACAGAGAATAAGCTTGACCCGCCATCTTTTAATTAGGATTTCCGTCCGAAGGGTTTCATCAGCGAGGATAGGCTTATATTGGCACAGAAATCATTTTGAGTAGCTGCTAACTACTCTCTGTATATCACTTCCCATTGTCTGTGTATGAAGATACAGTTGATAAGAGTGTTTATATGTTGTGGCGTAACTAAATAGTTGGGTAAAATTATCAGGGAGTAGAATGCTGCATTTTTAAAGTTTACAATCTGTTTGCCAACTTGCTACCTACAACTCGCTCACTAATACCCCAACATACCTGCCACTATACTGTCTTCCCACTTAGATCCTCTCGACACTTGTCGGCTTACACTAACACTGTCACCTTAGCAGAGACTGTGACTATCATTTTGGAACTTCACGGTGACCGTAAAGATGGTTCCAGTGGGGAATGGGATAGAGGGTGCCCACGTCCCTCGTGACTCATTGGAGCAGTGGAAGATAGGACTAACGCTAACATTGCTTAAACGCAATCCCACGTCATCACTCATCACCACCATTATTTCTAAAATCCTCACTATTTTCAGATCAATAACTCACATCTATATTCCTGGAACCTCTTTCTGTAACAGTTACTTGTCATACTAAGTATGCACGTAATACACTACTGGACACTATCACACGCACTTTTTCCTACTAATCAGATGGCGTCAAATATTAAATAAATGGGCAAGAGAGGAAAAAAATAGTTGGCAAGAAAAAAACTACAAAAGCCTAGAGTAGGCAAGCTTGGCTGTTCACCTACGATACTACCAATCTGAAATAGATCCTCTACTGCACCGTTTTCTTTTAAAGCAACGATTTCGCTTTAAGGTTCCGGCATCCTGGATTCTCCCCCTACTTCTTTCGTTTGCCCATAACCGGGTACTACATTTGCTAATCACTTCCCCGTATCGTTCACAATTGTCTTTTTTAAAGTTGCGCACCCTAAAAAGCAACAACAAAATAAAAGACAACTACCCACCCCCCCCAGAGCACACTTTCATGTACTGCACTTCCGTCCTTCGTCCTGTGCCAAGAGCCGACCTATTACTGTCTTGTTTCAAATCAAATGGCCATGTACTGATGAATTGGAGCCAACCCCCCCCCCCAACAAAAAACCTCCCACAAGAAGAAGAGTTAATAGAAGATAGAGGTAGTAATAGAAGAGAAAGTTTTGGAAGTTGAACTTGAACAAAGATCATGAGCTAAAAGATAGTTTACTCCCCTATTTCATAAATATTGTAAAAAACTGAAAAACCGTCCCCCCATAAAGCACTGATTGCAATGTCTGAACATTTTGCGTAAAGACCTAGAATTCTGATTTATTGTAGAGAAGGACCAACTTCCATGCAAACAATGAGAGAGCAAAAATGGTTTTACAGAGAGCTCAATGCGGAGAACAGGGCTAACATTTTACGCTTGACGAGCTGCTTCTTTGAGACTGGAGATGAGAAAGAAGAAGAAGGAAAATGGAGGTACTGTGTGAAAGAAGAACAAAGGGTAGAATGATGAGACCGATGAAGGGGGGGGGGGGGTGGGAGAGGATAACAAACGATCTTAATAAAATCAGAGATAATCACACGATTGTTGCGTCAGTTTATACATGCATTTTCCCATTATTGTGAGAAAGTCGCTATTTCGTGTTCCTGCATGTTTACAGCTCTCTTTGTAATATACGAGCTTACAAATATTGCGAAAATAGGAAGTGGGTGGGTTTATTTCTTACAGTGTGTTTATCGTACCTGGTTCTATAAGCATACATTCCCCGTTTGAAAGACAAGGTTTTGCTGCCGAGTAAATTGATCCCATGTCTGAAATAATAGACTGGAGCTGCAAGAAACAGAAACAGGTAAGGAAAAACAAGATTGATTTGATACGGACATATCAAAAACTCGTGAGCAATTACTTCAAATAACAGATAATAGATTTCTTTGAAACCAAACCCCCACCCACCCAATCCCTTTCATTAACGCACACCGTGCCTTTTCTCTTCTATTGAAACATAACAGAATGGAGACAAAGGTTACATAGAACATTAAAACTTACACTCAAAAGAGTCTTTCAAACCTCTGATTCTTCATCTCCTCCTCTTCCTTCTTATCCCCCTTCTCACCCCTCCCCATCCCCGTTCTCCTTTTACCCATCCCCATTCCCATTCCTTTCCCTTACTGTTTTCCTTATCCCCATCCCTCCTCGTTTTCCTCCTCTCCCTCCCCCATTCTCTCCTTTCCCGCTTTATTTTCCTCCTCCCCATTCCTCATTCTCTTCCTTTTCATCATCATCATCATCATCATCATCATCATCATCATCATCATCATCATCATCATCATCATCATCATCATCATCATCATCGTCGTCATTTATTTATTTTTGCGAGGGGTATAATGGCAGAAATATAAAAGTTGAGGTCAGATCATCATCACCGCCTTTTTCATTCTCCTCTTCCGCTCCCTCCTCTTCCTCCTCCTGTTCATCATCATCATCATCATCATCATCATCATCATCATCAT